TCCCTCCTCCTAAACGAGGCAGAGGAGTTGAGACAGCCATCATGTGCACACCTAGTTTAAAGAGTATCTGTGACCTCAGAGCAGCTAACCTGTGTGTGTGTGTGTGTGTGTGTGTGTGTGTGTGTGTGTGTGTGTGTGTGTGTGTGTGTGTGTGTGTGTGTGTGTGTGTGTGTGTGTGTGTGTGTGTGTGTGTGTGTGTGTGTGTGTGTGTGTGTGTGTGTGTGTGTGTGTGTGTGTGTGTGTGTGTGTGTGTGTGTGTGTGTGTTAGCTCCTGAAGAAGACTTCCCCCTGCAGCTGAAGAGACCTCGCGTTGCGCCCGAGGACACGCCTCACACACACACTGCGCACACACAGCCCCGCCCCCACATCACACAGCCACACACCATCTCCCACCTCACACACACACACCTGTCTCAGGCAAGCCCCGCCTCCTCACTGGACTCCCCAGCGACACCCACCACCGCGCTGGCCTCGCCCGCCGCCCCGGCCCCGACGCACACCGAGCACACACACTCGTCGTACGGCGGACACACGTCTCCGTACGGCGAGCAGCTGCAGCCGCTCTCCCTCACCACCAAACCGCACCGGACCCCTTATCCTCTGAGCCGCAGCACCGTCACCCCCGGACCCTCCACGCCCTCCTCCTCTTGTGACACGCCCACCACCTCACCCCTCATGTCCTCCTCCAGGTGTTCCCCCCCCCCCCTCCTCCTATGCTCTCTCAGCCCTTCCTGATCCCGCCCACTTCATCTTCTCACCAATCAGCAGCGAGCTCCCACAGTGCCTTGACCCAATCGCAGCCCTTCTCTCTCAGAAGAACCAATCAGCTGTGAGGCAGAGATTTAAAGAGCCCTGATTGGTTTGTACATCTTTTTAACGCTGTAAATAAGCTTATTTTTTTACGACCTTTTTATCGCTCTGTCACGTTTTATATTAGTATGAAGAAGACACATCATTGGTCAATATTTGACCGCCTCTCTAACTCCATGTCTTTTTTTTACACACTCACTTTTTCTAAAGACTTTTTGATGATGATGGACTCGTTAGTAAAACGAGGTGTGGCACCGGGTTGGTTTGTTTAAAAAAAAAACATTTTTTCTCACCAGGTAGTTCCGAGTGTGAATCTATTTCCTGTTCCTCCTCTGAGTTAATAAATATTCACAGAGTTCTCAAAGTGTCCCGAAGAGTCTTTTTATCACTACATGAACTTTGTGACGCTTCAGCAGCGACTTGACACGCACACCATCAAGACGAGAGAGAGATGCTCTTCAACTGAGTCACATGTTAACTCTCACACACACACGATCCAGCGCTAATAACTGTGTAGAGTCACAAACACGATATTGATAATCAGTGAGATGATAAAGGTATCTTACTCTCTGATCATTAAGGAAACATGCTATGTTGAAGTGCTGGCTTCTCTGACAACAATGCAGCAGCCAGTATGTCCTCCTTCTAACTTTAGATTCTGCTCCTGAATGCTCTGGATTTGTTTGGACCAGAGAAGGTAGGCACTTTTAAGACACCCCCCCACACGGCCGTTTTGGACACCCCTCAGTTTGTCAGATATGAGAGCAGTTATCAGGTCAACAGGTGTTGCAGCGATGGAAGCGGTCAAGAGAAGTGGTTCAGATAGAAGTGATTGTACCCGACCTAAAAAGCCTCTGCATGTTTCTAATAAGCTCCACGAGCAGAAACGTGCTCAAACTAGGATCAATATTGGAGATGCTTTTGAAAAATGGAGAGAGGTTAGAACACAGAAAGGTTTACAGACCCATGCAGAGCTGGATAAACACTGAAGCTTCAGAGTCCACCACATGGTGACCTGAGTGAGAGGGGGGGGGGAGACAGCTCTCTATGATGTTTAGAATTTAGACTGCAGCACCTATTTTAAACACTAGGTGGCAGTGTTACAGACTGCTCCTTTAAGACATGACCTCTGTTCATTCATACTGAAAGTCCTGACTCAGTCAAAAGAAGAACTCTGGTATTGACTGTGTCATGTAATAATCATCTAAATGATTAATATAGATCTGTATAATAAACACACCCTTTGTGTTATCAATGATAAAATAAAACGTGTTTCCTGTTTTATAATTGATCTGTGGTGTTGGACTGTCTTCATGATTTATTCTCTGGTTTAAATTTATACTTTTCTTCTTTGTGTATTTCTGCCTGATTTTCACTCTTGATTAATGAGAAACAAGTCGGAATCATGAAATCACAACTCTGAATTTCAGTTTCTCTTTTACGGTGACGTGTTGAGCATTGACTGATGGAAAAACACTCCACTCTGTGCACATGAAGAAATAAACACAAAGTTATGCAACCCTTTGTGACACAATGCTGTTGTAAACCTGTCAAAACCTGAAGACGACACTCCATATGTGGGTGTACAGGTGAGACTGGAGGCGTGGCAGAAACTTTAGAGTTGACTCAGAGGGTCTAAAGTCTGTCAGAGACTAACAGACACACAGAGAGAGAGAGCAGGATGCCACAGTGGAGAGGACTGATGGAGCACAGGGGGGAGAGAAACCGGGCCCTGTTAGTGTCCGTGGCTCAGTTTGACCCCGGGGTGACCCTGAAGAACAGACCCGGAGCCAACAAGGACACAAAGAAGCTGCACAACGTCCTCAGCAAGCTCGGCTTCAAGGTGAAGATCCACAACGACCTGAGTGCAGACGAGATCGACCAGCTGTTTCTTAAAGGTCTCACACACACACAGAGACACACGCACACACACACAAACTCACACCCATACAGACACTAAAACACACATACACACAGACACACACACACACACACACACACTGTCAGCATTGCTGAAGTCACTTTGCTCCATTGGCTGATTTTGAACTCATTACAAGCAGTTCAGGCCTTGTTTTTATTTCTTTATTTTTTATTTTTTTATTTCTTTATTTTTTATTTTTTTATTTTTTTATTTCTTTATTTTTTTTATTCATCATCTGATGTTTCTCTGGACTCGTCAGCTGAATGTGTTTGATAATAAAAGTCATGAGGTAAGTTTTGATAACTTGTGTTCGACCTGAGGCCGACACCCTAACCCTAACCCTAAAGATGAAAAATGACATAATGAAGAGAAACATCAATCAGCTGTTACAGGATCAAACTTTAACTGGACAAACTGCTGAAACAGAACGGGTCATGTGACCACATTAAACCATTTCCATAAAGAGGAAACTTTCAGTTCAAATCAGGAATCTTTTTAGTTTAAATGATCAGAAGGATTCTCATGAACCCTTTGAGGACTCATAGCTTTATGTAATCACCTCGTGCAGACAAACAGTATTCGTGCAGACATTGATTACTGCTTATCACTCAGAGATGTGGATCAGTCACATCTGACTCACTGAGGATCATTAGTGGTTACGTGAAGATTAGTGATTACATCATCAACTTCTGAACGAGATAAAAAAACAAACTGAGAAAAACAGCGATAAAAAAAACTCTCATTCTTTGAGTTGTTTTCAAACAAAGAAGATCCTTGAACGAGAACACAATGTTCTCTCTCAGCGTCAGAGCACACAGGGACTGCACCATACACACTGCACCATACACACCTGAAACACTGCACCATACACACCTGAAGCACTGCACCATACACACCTGAAGCACTGCACCATACACACCTGAAGCACTGCACCATACACACCTGAAACACTGCACCATACACACTGCACCATACACACTGCACCATACACACCTGAAACACTGCACCATACACACCTGAAACACTGCACCATACACACCTGAAACACTGCACCATACACACCTGAAACACTGCACCATACACACCTGAAACACTGCACCATACACACCTGAAACACTGCACCATACACACTGCACCATACACACCTGAAACACTGCACCATACACACCTGAAACACTGCACCATACACACCTGAAACACTGCACCATACACACCTGAAACACTGCACCATACACACCTGAAACACTGCACCATACACACTGCACCATACACACCTGAAACACTGCACCATACACACCTGAAGCACTGCACCATACACACCTGAAGCACTGCACCATACACACTGCACCATACACACCTGAAACACTGCACCATACACACCTGAAACACTGCACCATACACACCTGAAACATTGCACCATACACACCTGAAACACTGCACCATACACACTGCACCATACAAACCTGAAGCACTGCACCATACACACTGCACCATACACACCTGAAACACTGCACCATACACACTGCACCATACACACCTGAAACACTGCACCATACACACTGCACCATACACACCTGAAGCACTGCACCATACACACCTGAAACACTGCACCATACACACTGCACCATACAAACCTGAAGCACTGCACCATACACACCTGAAACACTGCACCATACACACCTGAAGCACTGCACCATACACACCTGAAGCACTGCACCATACACACCTGAAACACTGCACCATACACACCTGAAACACTGCACCATACACACTGCACCATACACACCTGAAACACTGCACCATACACACCTGAAGCACTGCACCATACACACCTGAAACACTGCACCATACACACCTGAAGCACTGCACCATACACACCTGAAACACTGCACCATACACACCTGAAACACTGCACCATACACACTGCACCATACACACCTGAAACACTGCACCATACACACCTGAAACACTGCACCATACACACCTGAAACACTGCACCATACACACTGCACCATACACACCTGAAGCACTGCACCATACACACCTGAAACACTGCACCATACACACTGCACCATACAAACCTGAAGCACTGCACCATACACACCTGAAACATTGCACCATACACACCTGAAGCACTGCACCATACAAACCTGAAGCACTGCACCATACACACCTGAAACACTGCACCATACACACCTGAAACACTGCACCATACACACCTGAAGCACTGCACCATACACACCTGAAACACTGCACCATACACACTGCACCATACACACCTGAAACACTGCACCATACACACCTGAAGCACTGCACCATACACACCTGAAACACTGCACCATACACACCTGAAGCACTGCACCATACACACCTGAAACACTGCACCATACACACCTGAAACACTGCACCATACACACCTGAAACACTGCACCATACACACCTGAAACACTGCACCATACACACCTGAAACACTGCACCATACACACTGCACCATACACACCTGAAACACTGCACCATACACACCTGAAACACTGCACCATACACACTGCACCATACAAACCTGAAGCACTGCACCATACACACCTGAAACATTGCACCATACACACCTGAAGCACTGCACCATACAAACCTGAAGCACTGCACCATACACACCTGAAACACTGCATCATACACACCTGAAACACTGCACCATACACACCTGAAACACTGCACCATACACACTGCACCATACACACCTGAAACACTGCGCCATACATACCTGAAACACTGCATCATACACACCTGAAACACTGCACCATACACACCTGAAACACTGCACCATACACACTGCACCATACACACCTGAAACACTGCACCATACACACCTGAAACACTGCACCATACACACTGCACCATACAAACCTGAAGCACTGCACCATACACACCTGAAACATTGCACCATACACACCTGAAGCACTGCACCATACAAACCTGAAGCACTGCACCATACACACCTGAAACACTGCACCATACACACCTGAAACACTGCACCATACACACTGCACCATACACACCTGAAACACTGCACCATACACACCTGAAGCACTGCACCATACACACCTGAAACACTGCACCATACACACCTGAAGCACTGCACCATACACACCTGAAACACTGCACCATACACACCTGAAACACTGCACCATACACACTGCACCATACACACCTGAAACACTGCACCATACACACCTGAAACACTGCACCATACACACCTGAAACACTGCACCATACACACTGCACCATACACACCTGAAACACTGCACCATACACACCTGAAACACTGCACCATACACACCTGAAACACTGCACCATACACACTGCACCATACACACCTGAAACACTGCACCATACACACCTGAAACACTGCACCATACACACTGCACCATACAAACCTGAAGCACTGCACCATACACACCTGAAACATTGCACCATACACACCTGAAGCACTGCACCATACAAACCTGAAGCACTGCACCATACACACCTGAAACACTGCATCATACACACCTGAAACACTGCACCATACACACCTGAAACACTGCACCATACACACTGCACCATACACACCTGAAACACTGCGCCATACACACCTGAAACACTGCATCATACACACCTGAAACACTGCACCATACACACCTGAAACACTGCACCATACACACTGCACCATACACACCTGAAACACTGCACCATACACACCTGAAACACTGCACCATACACACCTGAAACACTGCACCATACAAACCTGAAGCACTGCACCATACACACCTGAAACACTGCACCATACACACCTGAAGCACTGCACCATACACACCTGAAGCACTGCACCATACACACCTGAAACACTGCACCATACAAACCTGAAGCACTGCACCATACACACCTGAAACACTGCACCATACAAACCTGAAGCACTGCACCATACACACCTGAAACACTGCACCATACACACCTGAAACACTGCACCATACACACCTGAAACACTGCACCATACACACCTGAAGCACTGCACCATACACACCTGAAACACTGCACCATACACACCTGAAGCACTGCACCATACAAACCTGAAACACTGCACCATACACACCTGAAGCACTGCACCATACACACCTGAAGCACTGCACCATACACACCTGAAACACTGCACCATACACACCTGAAGCACTGCACCATACACACCTGAAACACTGCACCATACACACCTGAAGCACTGCACCATACACACCTGAATGTTCATTACTTATTACCTCTGAGTGAAGTGTGTAGTTGTCTGATTGTGTGTTGTTGTGTGTTTGTGTTGCAGAGAGCAGGCGGCCTGTCAACGACTGTTTCCTCGCCGTCTTGTCGTCTCACGGCGAGGAGGGCTGCGTGTTTGGGGCCGATGGGAAACCGGTCCAACTGTCAAAGATCTTCTCCTACTTTGACAACGAATGCATGGAGACGAAGGCCAAGCTGTTCCTCATACAGGTAGGAGGAGGAGGAGGAGGAGGAGGAGGAAGAGGAGGAAAGGAGGAGGAAGAGGAGGAGGAGGAGGGGGAGGATGAGGAGGAGGAAGAGGAGGATGAGGAAAAGGAGGAGGAAGAGGAGGAAAGGAGGAGGAAGAGGAGGAGGAGGGGGAGGAGGAAGAGGAGGAGGAGGAAGAGGAGGAAGAGTAATGATATGTTGTCTGTACTGATGTCAGGTTCTCTGTGTGTCTGTAGGCGTGTCGGGGTGGCGCTCTGGATGACGGCGTGGAGGTGGATTCAGCAGGTGACAGCTTCTCTCAGCAGCTCTGTGTTCCTGTAGATACAGCTGCGATGTACGCCACAGCTCCAGGTAATCACCTGTCCATCAGCCTCAGCTCCGCCTCCTTTTTGTTTTTAAATCAATCCAAAGTTAGGTAGCTTTAACACTTACAACATGGCGACCACCACGGTTTGGCTTCAAAAACCCCTTTTCAGAAACAGATGGGTGATCTCAATGAGACTGTGTCCATGTTTCATACATGATATTTATACATGTAGTTCATGAAGTGAACACCAGGTGGAGCATAAACTCTATATAGAAATGGACAGCAGGGTTTGGAGTCAGTGACCACTGGATGTCGTTTTTTTTCTCTGCTCAGGTTATGGAGCGTTCATGCACCCGCTCGGCTCCGTCTTCCTGCAGACTTTCTGCACTTTACTGAAGGAGGAGGGGAATCGTAACCTGGAGCTGACCCGCCTCCTGACCCGCCTCTCCCACAGAGTCGCCTACACCTTCCAGGCCAAAGGTCGCGTCCTGGGCGGGAAGAAAGAGATGCCGTGCCTCGTGACGCGACTGACAAGAGAAGTGTTCCCATTCGCCGAGCCGGGGAAAGAAGGCGGGGCCGTAGCAGGGCTCTCGGCCACATCGCTGGTCGACCCTGAAAGCACCCGAACGCGGGCTCCGTCGATCAGCTAGAAGCAGCTCGCGGCTCCTCTGAAAGAACGCGATGATAACGAGAAGGAGAACTCTGTAATTCATCGTTAATCAAATGAAAGCTCAGCCCGGGCGTGTGTGCTGAAATCTTCTCCACATATTGTACATAACTCTGCATCAGACTGTTCTAGCAGTGAGCGTGAAATGTAAAACTTTATTTCAAAGTAAATCGTTTTTCCAACAATTAAAATGTCTAAATCAAATAACAGCAGATACCTGCAGCTGCTTTCTCTCTGAACATCATCTTAAATATGAATGAAGTCTGTGTGACCTCTGGGGGAGGGGGTGAGTTTCATACATCACATTGTGCAGGATCACACGCTCGCTGTCCACTCTGTGAATTTCAATCATTATGACATGTTTTATTTTGAAGGTGGACACACAGAAGTGTGGGGCTTTTATTTTGAAGGTGAACAAACAGAAGTGTGGTGCTTTTATTTTGAAGGTGGACAAACAGAAGTGTGGTGCTTTTATTTTGAAGGTGGACAAACAGAAGTGTGGTGCTTTGTATTAAATGAAACTCAAATCATAAACTACACAAACGTCCCCTTTTTGTGTCGATCGTCTGTGAACTGTGTTAACCCTTTCAGTCGTTGCGCGCTGGATATCCAGGTGGCTATGTCACGCTCCATGTGCTGGGGCTGTAGTCCTCGTTATAGCGGCCGTGGGTTCGGATCTGACGTTGATCCTTTGCTGCATGTCTCGTTTCAGCTTTCATATCTAAAAAAAACTCTGAAGACTTCATCAGATGAATCATATCTTCAGAGACACCACAGAGCTCCTCGGGGCCCCGAGGAACCATCACTAGGTGGCTAACAAACTTTAAACCACTGCAGAGAGTAGGCTACACCACCTTCTGTCAAAACCCTCATAAAACTTGATTGATTGAAACCGGAAGTCCCGCCTCCTGAAACCGGAAGTCCCGCCTCCTCCCCTCACTCCCTCCCACCCCCCTTCCCTAATTTTTCAAGAATCAAAGTCCATCCAGGATGCTCCAAAGAAAAGCATGGTGTATTTGCGTGGGACTCAAATGACGCCTTCAGAGTCCCTGCATGAGGAATGGTCCTTGGAGCCCTACGGACAGAGTGGTAGCTGGGGGTACGTGTTCAAATACCAAACTGGAGATCTTTGTCTGTATCAGTTGGATGGGGTGAAACACTGGGGCCTTCAACAGACCTAGCCACGCTGACATCAAATGATGGTGGTGTGCTGAAGTTGGCTAGACCGGAGAATCTGGGTGAGGATAAACGCAGCGGTGGTGAAGAAGAGGAAGAACAATCTGTGAAGAAAAAGTCTAAACTGGAACCTTTGCCTTCCTCCAAAGATCAGACATTGAAAAGAATGTTGTTTAGCGCAATCTGGCAGACCAAATATTCTCCCACCGGTTGTTGGTTCTTTCAAGCCATTCATCATACATCTGAGGTGCAGTGTTTAGGGGAGCCAAAGGAATACTTTGTTTTGGATCTTTTTTTCGAGTGTGGTGTATTTCGCACTTTGTTGAAACTACCCATGGCGGCTTGGAACGAAAAGATGGAAGATGAAAAGATGAAAAGATGAAAAAATTACGTCACTGTTTCACAGCTGTCGCATCTGGAGAGATGCTCTGGCGGTGAAAAAAAGCGAAGACCACACCTCCTTTTTAAGGACCACCTTTCAACCACCATAAAAACGGCCTCCAATCCCAGACCCAACATCATTCCTCGGCGAGCAAAAACCAAAACGAGAAACCATGAACAACAAAGCAGACGTCTCACGAATGCAGAGGGTAAACTTCTGTCCCCCCATCCCGATGGCTAAAGTTTCTCTCTGGGCTGACACTTCATCGATAGGGGAGCAGACTTCAGACACGGTGGACATTGACGCTCCTATGCATGTTCCACCCGCTCCTTCCTCTTCTCCAAAGCCTGTTGATGAGAACATGCCTGGACATGAAAAAGCGGTGGAGCAGGTTGACCGTTGGATGTCGTCCAAGTTCATCGAAGTCGTGAAAGAGGCCGTGCTCCATCTGCTCAACCTTATGTTGGGGAACTTTCAGAGGGTGAGCTGCTATGGGTGTCAGATCAACCATTCTAGCCAGAAACACCACCAGTTCTTGGAGATCATCACAGATGGTTTCTACAGGGACAACTTTGAAGAGCTGATGAACAAACTTTACACCCTAAAGTTTATCCCGGCTATCCAGCATCTCTTGAGGCTTCTTCAGATCCAGACGTAGGAGGTGAACGTGAAAAC